TCGTTATTCAGCCTATTACCATCTTGTAAATAATTATTTTAGGGCATTGAAATATCAAAACATGAGTATATAAGTGCAAAATATAATTAATATTGTTATATTAATATAAATTATACTGTGCGTTCGTAATTTCCATATCCTGCAAATTAAATTTTTTTTTCCATATGTAGCGAACATTATGGGGGACACTTTCTATGGATAATCCTCTGGCATAAAAACACTATTCAGTTTTTAACTAATATAGAAATTATCGAGGAAATTATACTAATGCAAATGCTTCCAGAAATTTTCTTGTCTGAACACAATTCGGACACCGACGCCACAGCAGCCAGCAGTGTAACAGACAATGTTGTCAACTTGTCGAAATAATTCAGAGGACTCTTTATTTCTATTTGGTGTATAAAAACACAGAGTTGTGAGTTTCTTAACTCATAAAATAAGTAAATAAATAATTGAAGTATTTTTAGTTTTATTTTCATCTAGTCTAGACGAATTAACCAGCGAATTAATAAAATACAGAAAGTTTGAAATATAAAAAACTAATATTATATCTATACTATCTAATAAAGGCATCAATTTTAAACATTTTGTGGATGCAAATCTGTCCAGAGCGAGGGGTGTGTCACTTCTGGAATTACATGTACATTTTCTTGATTGTATTGTGGAAGTCACAGGAATTCGCTTGGTAGTCATTGGAAGTTTGGCAGTCAGTAGCAGAATTCCGCGTAGTCGCTAGAACTCACTTGGCAGTCACTGGAAGTCGCGCGGTAGTCGCTGGAAGTCGCGCGGCATTCATTGGTATTCACGACACTTTTGAGGAGTTTGGTCGCGACATTCGTAGTCATTTGCCACACGCTTTTGATCGCGAATTTGATGTGTGCAATATTTATATAGAATCCTCAAGAAACATTTGTTTAGTTGCTTGACAGCACAGAGATTCAACGCAGATGAGCGTTTGGAAATAGTATATTGTGTATTTAGGTGGAAAAGTGACACATTCTCGGCCGACGGTGTGAGTTGACGGGCGAGGCGTAGCCGAGGCCGGCAAACACCGAAGGCTGCGAATGTGCTTTTCCACCGAAATACACATACTATTTTTTCTGCGATCGGTTGAATACCTGTTAAATGTTTGTCTTTTGGTTCCAATTATTCAGCAGTACGAGAATCACTTTCCCGGCCTAGGCCGGAAAAGTGTTTCCCGTATTGTTATTCATTGATTCCTTAGCAACTATTGAAACATAATTAAAATACCAGAATATTGAGTTTTGCGACCTGTCAACCGGTCAAAAATGATGACATTTCTTGTCAATCGTAGAAAATAGCTATTTACCTAACAAGTGCGGAAAATGAATTTTTCCGCAAGTGTTAGGTACAATATTTTTCCTACAGGCGAAAAAATGTAAAATTTTTCTTTTTTTTTTGACATATCGGTGCGGTAAAATTTTCTCCGCACTGACAGCCGTGCGGAAAAACTTTTTCCGCACTGATATGTCAAAAAATAAAGTTTTACCGCACCGTGCGGGAAAAATCATTTTCCTCACGCATATCAGTGCGGAAAATCGATTTTTCCGCACGGCTGTAGGAAAATAATTCTTCGACATCTTTTTATAATGATGGAAGCAAGAAAATGAGTCACAATCCCTCGGACAATCCACAATAACGCATATAAAAAATTTAATTCATACATTGTTCTAGTAGTTTTTTATCTAATTTGGGAGACCTTTCAAACGAAAACGATCTCTAGCTAATATAGACAAAATGGCAGTGGTTTGTGGTATTAAAAGAGGGAAATCCATGAATATGATGCCCAGAGTGTGATTTTATTACTGTTAGTTTAGTCTTAATACTCACAAAAAAAAAATGGGTTTGCTCAAATTTTAATAGGCATATCAAGACCCATTTTTCTCAAGCTAGTAAAAAAATCACAAAGACAACAAAGGATCCTCAAAAACCCCAAGCATTCTCTCATACCTCCAAAAAAGACCTTCATCATCGAGCTCAGTATCAGAGATACCATCATCATTTCACATTTTCGGTATTATCGTCAGTGTTAGGACCTCTTATTATTCTGCCTGGAATCATCTGACTCCTTGATAACAGGAATCAGCCTTGATAACATTGATGAAGATATACTGGAAGTTTCTGAGTTGATTGAAGAGGACACTTGCGAAGATCTAGAGAAACTAGGTGGGAATCAAAATTTTGTACATGGCAGAACAACTAAAGATGAGATGGAAGACAGTTGTTCTGCCTCAAGAAAAAACCCTTTCTCGTTATCATTCGACACCCAGAGGCACCATTACAAAGAACCATCGATTAAAAACACAAAGACTTCTCTCTCTCTCTCTCTCTGCAATTTTAGAAGACCTCCTAATTTCTTTATTAATCAAGATGTCCAAAAACGAAAAATACTTTCTATAGGCAGTTTTTCAAGGATAATCGAGTGGCATGACCAATTTTTCTCCAGATGCCTCTGATTTTGGAATATTGACCAAAGTTGTATTTTTTTTAAATGGGACACCCCGTATATTATTTTTTCATTGAATAGCTCTTTGTGAACTAATTTCAATGATATAAGATTTTATACCTTTACCTTCTATAGTTTTGGAGAAAAATAGTATATTATATACCTAGGTAGAGAAGTTGGTCATTATATACCGAGCGCTTTTATGAACCGAGGCGCAAAGCGCCGAGGTTTATAATGCGTGAGGTATATAATGACTTTCTCTACCGAGGAATATATAGAATTTTTTTTACTACTGCTAGTAGAAAATAAAAAATTTGCTTAAAATCTGTGCTCTAATTATTTTTTTTTGAACGCCCTCTTGAAAGTGCTGCCCTCTATCAACAGCTTATGATAACTTCCTATGTACCTACAGAAACCTGTATTTTGTTTTAAATTGACGCATGAAATTGAAATTGAACCAATAGAAACATGACAATATCCTTGCGTCATGACGTCATTTTCATTATTGACCTAGGGACTTTTTCATTATTTTCATTATTCACCTAGGGAGAGAAATTCAATTTTTTCCTAGAAAAATAGATTGAATAATGACTATTTCTCAGGTAAGTAGTAAAAAAAAGTTATTATTCCGTTTTTCCATAAGAAACAATGAGCTAGAGAGAGGTAGGTCCTAAATTATGTGTTGCCTATTTATCACCCCCGATTCATAGTTCAAATCTCGGTTCAAATTTAAAAAAAAAAATTAGCTGAACTGAAAAATTTAATTAAGAATTAAGAAATTTGTAGCCCATTCATAGTTCAACTATCTCTTTCTAACTTATTGTTTCTTATGGAAAAAACGGAATTTATTTTTTTTCTCCAAAACTATTGAAGGTAAAGGTATAAAATCTTATATCATTGGAATCAGCTCACAAAGAGCTATTCAATGAAAAAATAATATACGGGGTGTCGCATTTGAAAAAACACAACTTTGGTCAATATTCCAAAATCGGTGGCATCTGGAAAAAAAAAATTGGTCATGCCACTGGATTCTACTTGAAAAACTGCCTATAGAAAGTATTTTTCGTTTTTGGATATCTTGAATAATAAGGAAATTAGAGAGTCTTTTAAAATTGGACAAAATTTGAAAAGTGCCCTGTATTTCCTAAACGCATCAAGTTAGCCGTGATTTGTCTTCGCCATTGTTTTTTTCCCAAAAAAAGAGCTCAAGAATGTGCTCCCAGATTTTTGATATCTCTGCTGGTTTTTGATATAGCCCATTAAAATATCGAAAATGGGCCACCCTGTACAAGAGTCTGTGGATAGTGGATGGAACTTCTAAAATAAATATTAGTTGTACTAGCGTTTTAGTTATTTCCTGATTTTCTCTAAACACAGTTTTAAAAAAAAAAAATTATATTTTTCTCGAGAATTTTCTATATAATTGATAACTGACGTCTAAAAGTTGGAGCGAATTGTACGGAAATTATTTAGTTCTTCGAAATTACATGGTATATTCTAGTAAAAATAGTATAAGAAGTAATGGTAGTCATACTGCAGTCACAGGAAGTACAGGCATTCATTGAGAAGTCATTGACATTCAGTTGTAGTCAGTAGAATTCATCCCCATTTTTGGCAGTCTTTGGAATTCAGATAAATAGGTTTTGTTTTGGAATTACATGTACATTTTTTGACACAGTGACACACCCCTTGGTCCAGGGTAAGTAACACCCGATAAAGAAACTCTCCGTTGCGATATCGGGTGTTACATTCAAATTTGCGAACGTGAGCCAAATGGGTGTTACTTACCTCCATGCCTCCGGGTTGGTTTTAACTCCAGGGTAAGCGTGTCCAGTTGCTATATTTACCCTGGAGTTATCCTTAACCCGGGGGTGACTTGCTATTGAGAAAATGGCCCTATAACTTTCATACCTAAAGTTTTTTTCCACCTCGTATAGCTAGAGCTGTAGTTAGGGGTCAAAATATGAGGAAACACCCTGTACAATACAGCGAAATACTGTACGTATGTCTTGGTTGGAGGTTGGAGGGTCGGCTACAAGTGCTAAATAATTTAATTAACCAACAATACGTGATAAGAACGGTGCCACAATTACCGATTTATCGAAATACCGAGAATCTACCGAAAAAATAAAAACCATATGATTTGAGATTTCTAGGTTAACTTGCAGTAGAAATAATAATTTTCAGTGAATTCTATGAGATTTAGAAGTTTCGTATAGGATTAAGTTTATTTGTTCTCTCCGTTTTATTTTGGGAAATCAAAAAGTGCCAATTTTTAGGGTTCGGTATTTTCTGCGAGGCTCCTTAGGGCGCGAGGCCGTCGGCAGCCGCCGACGTCGCCGACGCCTAGCTACGCCACTGGTTTTGAGGTAACTTAACAGTAATAATCGCATGGCACTGGAAAGTAGGAAGAGTTTTTGACTCTAGCAAAAAAATAATTTCTCCTTCTCCTTGAACGTTGGAAGTGATATAAATCAGCTCAGAGCTAGACAATGTAGATCAAAATTGTTAAAAGCCAAATTAGAGTTCTTACCTGCACTGAGTCTCCATAGGTCTTGGAGTTGACGAAGTATTGTCCGTGGGGTGATCCATACAAAGCAATTCTCCGCCCTGCTCGGGAAATCGATCGCACTTCATTCGCTCGGGCCACTGGAGCCCGTACCTGGTCATTATCGGTTCGCATCCTTCTCGGGCTCTTCTACACATGTCTCTACACGGCGGAAGAGGTTCAGAGTACTCCGATAAGCATATGGGGGCGTACGTGGAGCACAGGAAGAATTTCAAGTCAGGAGAGCATTTGATTTCTACTAGAGGCCAAAATTGGTGCACCTCCAAGCCGGCTTGTTCTTGAGATTCGTGATTGAACTCGTTGGGCATTTTGGTCATGTTGTATTTGATATCCAGACACATGGGGATGGTAATTTGTTCACATTTACCGTCTTGGTCTGGTGAAGAGGAAATTACTGAGCACGTTGTCGATGAAACAAGAAGCATCACGCTTACTGCTAAAAGATGAGCCATTTTTTAAATTTAATTCTTGTTTGAGGTAATGAGGTAGCAGGTTGACACTAGTGATGAAAACTCTAATTTCCTGAAGATATATTTTCAAGGAAATATGATCAGGTGCAATGGGATCTGAAAAAAAAAAACAATTATGCATAGGCAATATGAATGATTTGTAGTATTAGTTCACAAAAACCTTGACCGATAAATATTAAATTTTACTTTATGGCCAGTCAAATAATATATGCAGTCGAAGATTCTGCAATATATTTCTTGAGACTGCCTACAGCTTTTTATTGTGAAGGATCAATAAATTTCGAATGATACGGGAGCATGAAATTACTTCGCATTAACGTGCCTCGCCTTTATTTTGTAGCTTAATGAGGACTTATCACAATATTGAAGAAGCAGACTTTATTGTAGAGGTGACAGCCTAACTTCAGGTCTTTATTATTATTCTTCCATTGTTCTCAGTCTTTGCAGGTCACTGTCTCAGTAAGAGATTCTGATCTAAAAAAATCTTATTATAAACAGTACCTAGATGAAAAGTTGCTCAGAGGCCAAGCATTTTAATCAGATTTTTTTTTTGTTCTCCTATTGGTAAGCTGATATCATGTCTTTGATCCAAGAGCAATTTTCATATGTTCTTAATGCTCTATATAATCTTTTTAATTTTTCAGGAAAACTTATCCCATTTCTGAAATTTCTTCCACAATAATTATTTGTCTCGATGTCTAAATATGTCTTTTTACAAAAAACTGCCCCCATTCTAATAAGTACCTATCATAAAAAAAAAAAATGACCATAGCAATTCAAATTACCAACCTCCTTCCTAACCCAGAACCAAACACAAGAAAAATAACAAACTGGCAAAACTTCGAAAGAAAACTGATGGAAACAATCGAGCCGTCGCTTCGGCTCAAAAAACATTAAAAAAAATCTTTCCAACCATAATCAGAATCATTCAGTCAGCTCTACAAGAAACCACTTCCTCCATCAACCTAGATTTCATCCCTGAGCCAGCCCTGTACGGCCTTGCAAGAGAAATGGAGAACTGTAAACAGGGACGTCCCGAAGACTTTTTATTGGGGGGGTGGCGTAGGTAAAATCTCCCAACTGGTCTTTCTCAAAAATCCCAACTAACAGGTGCGTAGCCAGAAAATTCAGATAAGGGTTTTTTTTCGCTATTGAAATTAAGAAATATTGCAGGACCATAAGGGTGTCAGAAAAAAAATAGCCCCGCAGGCGAAAATTTTGTAGAGTTTCAAGGTCAAATGCTTTATATGAAAAGAATAGAATTTTGAGGGTCAAAAAGTAGGTAACTATAATACGCTAAAATATAGGTTTCGTAAGGTAAATTTCTAGAATTTTTAGTGATGTCCCAATACATATATGTCTTTCGTGATGTTATATTTAGGAATATATTGTTAATTTGATTTTAATAAATAAAGTCGGCAACATTGTATTTGCCAGCCGGTAATTAGCAGCGCCCTTCTTTGCCGGCATGATGACGTCAGACAGTGAGAACGTGGAGGGAGGCTCTCTCTCTCTGGCGACGACAAGTGGACAAGTTGTATCGAGTCGCGAGGTCGGAATTGACCTTTTCAATTTAGAAGCCTCTCTCTCTGGCGTCAGACTGTCAGACGCCAAAAGAGTATGAAAACAATGATTGACAGCTATTGACAGTGGTTTGTTGACAAGAGTTTTATACGTGTGAGACTGGAAACTATTATTTCCTCGGTTTTTTCAAGGTTTTTTCCTAACAATGGTGATTGTGTGTAGTGTGCCTTTTCGTGATAATAATCTCTATTCACCCGCAGACGTGTCTTTCCATATAAGTTACATATTATCAAATCCTACATTTGTCAAAATTTGGATACACAAAATCAGAATTGATACTCGCAAAAGTAAGGGAAATCCACCGCCTATCAAGTATACAAAGATATCCACGTTCAAGTTTACCTAGTTTCTAGTTTGTGGTAGCTGTTTGCTTCCCACATTTTCTTTCCAATTTCAAATTTCACCATTCTATGTCGGTCATTGTCATTTTCCATTCACTGAACAAAGATACCTAACTCATCGGTGGAGTCACCGATTAGAATAAAAACCAGGGAATTGCTAAACATCCTATACACTTGACATTGACGAGCAAGCAAATGTTGGCGGGAATCTGAATGTTTTCATACTTTATCGTCCATCTCTTTTAATTGAAAACGTCAATTAAAGGAGTTTTAATTCAGCACTAAGTCTTTTATTTATTGCCATGGGACACCACAAATGGCGACGAGGCTAAAGAACGTGTAGTTTGCGGGAAAAGCCGGAAAAGTATCTAATTATCCGCGAAGTCGGTTCGATATCACGGGCAGTGCTTTTCGCGAGCAAAATGGCGGTACCTCAAAAGTTTGGTGAATTTAACGGGGACCAAGACGAATGGGTGATATATAAGGAACGCCTAGAGCAGAATTTCGTTGCAAATAAGGTGGAAGATGAGAAAGTGAAGGTAGCGACGTTACTCAGTGTTATTGGAGTACAAGCCTATAAACTTTTCAGGAATTTATGCCACCCCAATCTGCCGGCAACAAAAAAATTTGATGAACTCACAGCTTTGCTAGAGAAGCAGTTCTCACCGCAAGTAAATTTTTGGCGGGAGAGAAGGAAATTTTACGAGGCCAGGCAGGAGAAAAGTGAGGCTGTGACGGATTGGTACGCAAGAATTCGGAGTTTGAGTGTGAATTGCGATTTTGGTAACAAACTCATAGGAATTTTAAAAGATAAATTCATGTCCGGCTTGACAAATAATGCAGTATTTGATCGTCTGTGCGAGGAACCAGACACAAAATCATTGGATGATTTGGTCAAATTAGCTCTTCAGCGTGAAGATATGGCGAAATCACAGAATGGCGGGAATTCTGCAGAATTGTACTCAGTCACTCAGTTCAATACAAAGGGTCAGCTGGAGCACGACCAAAGAATCGCAGCGCGCAAAACCAACCTAACTGTCGTTGTAGCAACAGCAAACGTCAAGAATATGGATACCAGCAACACCCAGCTGATAGTGACAACGCAAAACAAAAACAAAAGGAACATAACCGCAATTTTAAAGAAGAGGGAGCGAATGGATTTGTATGTGAAGTTTGTGGAATTCAGGGGCACAATGCAAGGCAGTGTCGCTATAAGGGGTACAGATGCGACAAATGCGGAAAAAGGGGCCATTTGAAGCGTGTATGTGTGCGTCGAAACACTCACTATGTTGTTGAAGACTTCGACCAAGACTCTGAAACCGAAATCAGCTCTGGGGAAGAAAATGAGTCAGAGAAGGAAGCACTGATTTTCAACGTAAAATATAAAGGCGGCCCAGAAAAATGTAAAATGGAAATGAATGATTGTGAATGTGTGAATCAGGATGTAAAGCAGGTATGTTTTTCTATTAAAAATGATCATGATTTTCATATAACTGCAAATATTTTTAACAAAAATGTAGATTTTGAACTGGACAGTGGATCCTCCATATCAGCTGTAAATTCAAAAACGTACAGTAAAAAGTTTGCAGAAATAATGCCACTTAGTCACAATAACATTTCATTGAAGGCATACGATGGAGGAACCTTTGTTCCAAAAGGTTACTTTAAGGCTAGTATCAATTATTTGGGTAAGACAAAAGAAGTAACTATGTATGTTGTAAAAACAACAGGACCTAACATTCTTGGAAGGGACTTTTTAAGCAAATTTAAATTGAAGCTAGAAATGTGTAACAGGGTGGATTCAGACTTTTTGCATATTGACAATGAGGTAAGGGGTTTGATAAAAAGTTTTCCAAAGGTATTTACAAATAAAATAGGTAAATTCAAATATGCCAAAATCTCTTTGCATCTCAAACCGGGCTCGAAACCAAAATTTTGTAAGCCAAGGCCAGTGCCATTGGCATACAGAGAAGTCATGGATAGGGAGATAGACAAGCTGGTGGAACAGGGTATTTTGGAATATGCCGAAACAAGTGAATGGGCAACTCCACTCGTAGCCGTAATGAAAAGCGGAGGAGGCTTACGTTTATGCGGAGACTACAAATCCACAGTTAACCCATGTCTTGTAGAAGAATCTTATCCAATACCCACAGCTACAGAGATTTTTGCAAAGCTCCATGGTGGAGAGCAATTCTCAAAGCTTGATTTATCACAAGCCTATAATCAATTTGAATTAGATGAAGATGCAAAAAAGTTGTTGAGATGGTCCAAGCATAAAGGAATATTTACGGTAACAAGGATGCCATTTGGCATTTCACCAGCAAGTGGTAAATTCCAAAGATATATAGAGCAGTTATTGCAAGGAATGGATTATGTTGCGATTTTCATTGATGACATCATAGTAACGGGGCGAAATAGGCAAGAACATATAAAAAACTTGAGAAAAGTACTAAAAAAACTAGAAGATGCAGGCTTGACAGTAAAGAAAGATAAATGTCATTTCTTTCAGGATAAGGTTGAGTATCTTGGTCATGAGATCAGTAAAGATGGTTTAAGAAAATTAAAATCAAAAGTGGAAGCTATAATAAAGGCAGAAAGTCCAACAAATTTAACAGAAGTTCGAAGTATTTTAGGGGCAATAAATTTCTATGGCAAGTTCATACCAAATTTAGCACATATTTTACATCCAATTTATTCTTTATTGCAGAAAAATACAAAATTTGTTTGGTCTAATGATTGTCAGAAATCTTTTGATAAAATTAAGGAATTGATGTCGTCAGACCAAGTGCTCACTCATTTTGACCCCGTATTAAAAATCATAGTAACAACTGATGCCTCAGAATTAGGTATTGCAGCAGTGATGAGTCACAAAATGCAAAATGGTGATGAAAAACCAATATGTTGCATATCGAGAACTTTGACAAAAGCAGAAAAATCATATTCAACCATTCATCGTGAAGGGCTAGCAGTTTATTGGTCAATAAATAAACTTAGCCAATATTTGGTAGGTCAACATTTTATTTTGAGATGTGATCATCTACCATTGATTTCCTTATTCAACGAAAAAAAAGGTATACCAAAAATGCATGCAAATAGGTTGCAACGTTGGGCAGCATTTTTAGCAGGATTCAATTACTCGATTGAGCATATAAAGGGACAGAAAAATAATTATGCAGACTTTTTATCCAGAAAACCTATGCAAGCCGAGCCAGAAGATATAGAGGAGAATATAAATTTTATTGTATACACATCGACTGTACAGAATTGGCCAATAGACAATAAAAAAATACAGATACATACAGAAAATTATCAAGAATTAGAAGAAGTAATGGGATATGTAAATAATGATAATTGGCCCAATCCTTTGCCAGAGTATCTAAAACATTATTACCGAAGAAGAGGTGAATTGACAATAGAGAATGGTACATTGTTATGGGGCTTAAGGATTATAATACCAAAGTCATTAAGAAAAGAAATTTTGGAATTACCTCATCAGTCACACTTTGGAATTTACAAAATGAAGGCAAATGCTAGGAGTTTCGTATATTGGCCTAAGATGGAAGAAGATATTGAAAGAATGTCTCAATCTTGCACACCATGCCTAATGCATAGAAATAGTCCACCACACTCAATCTTGACACCGTGGCCATTGGAAACAGAGCCTTGGGCAAGAATTTGTATGGATTATGCGGAATTGGGAAACAAAATATTTTTGGTGATAATAGATGCATACACCAAATGGCCAGAAATTTTTATAGTAAAAAATATGACAACAGAAACCACTATAGAAAAATTATGTGAAGTGTTCTCAAGATTAGGACTACCAAAAACAATTGTTTCTGATAATGCTAGAATGTTTGTTTCAGACAAAATTCAAAATTTCTTTAAAATCAATGGTATAAAATCAATCACTTCACCACCTAGAAATCCATCTTCTAATGGACAAGCAGAAAATTCAGTTCAAACATTAAAAAGGAAGTTGAAGACAATGTTATATGATTCTAAAAATGTTGGGGTTAGTTTAACAATTTTGTTGCAACAATTGCTTTTTACTTACAGAACATCAGAACATTGTTCAACAAAACAAACACCAGCAAAATTAATGTTTAACAGAGATTTAAGAAACCACTTGTCATTATTGAAGGAGAACAAAAATTTGAAGAGGGAGGAAAGTAAGGAGAAGGATGAATCACAGGGAAAAGCTATAAGGGAAAGTCAGAAAATTAAAACAAACGTAGAAAAATCACAGGAACAACAAATCAAACAACATCGAGGAAAAAAAGTTATATACAGTGTAAATCAAAAAGTTATGGTCAGAGATTACCGAAATATGAATAAGATAAGTTGGACAAAAGCTAAAATTGTAAAAATTCTTGGAAAATCTGTCTTTGTATGTCAAACAAAGGAAGGCCATTTTTGGAAAAGGCATGCAAACCAAATAATTCCACGTTCAGAACAATCGGAACAAAGCGAGCCCAGTTTGGTTAAAACTTCAGTCAAAAATTCTAGTAAAGATTATTTACAGGAAATTAAATACCTACCTTTGAAAAACTCTACTCAGCCCAGTCATGTAGAAACCGGTGTTGGTCAAAGTTCATCAGAAAACAATAATGCAAATTTTCAAAAGGTTAATGATTCACTGGATAATTCATCACTTGAACCACAGCCCAGCACTAGTTTCGACATGCAAGCAAATCCGAGATCAGAACTCAACAATAGGCAAAAAGGTTTGGATCAGAATATGTCTAATACTGATCAAGACTTTATTGTTATTCTGATTCATTATAAAAAGCCAAGTAAAAAGAAAAATGTAACTTCGGGGGTAAATGTTAAAGTTAGTCCCAATGCAGTTAACTCAGACACATTACCAAATCAAAATAGTTATAAGAACCGTCCAAAAAGAAACTCAAAGAAGCCATCCAGATATGAAAATTGAAATGCTTAGGTTAGGTTATTGATTTGTTGTAATATATTATAGTATAAGTATTTGTTGTTTAGGCTAAGTATTTTGTTATATCATTAGCTTAAAGATAAGCTTTATCAAAAAAGGGAGGTGTTATATTTAGGAATATATTGTTAATTTGATTTTAATAAATAAAGTCGGCAACATTGTATTTGCCAGTCGGTAATTAGCAGCGCCCTTCTTTGCCGGCATGATGACGTCAGAGAGTGAGAACGTGGAGGGAGGCTCTCTCTCTCTGGCGACGACAAGTGGAGAAGTTGTATCGAGTCGCGAGGTCGGAATTAAAGGAGTTTTATTAATTCAGCACCAAGTCTTTTATTTATTGCCATGGGACACCACACGTGACTTTACATTTTAGGTAGGAAAATTCGTTGTAAATGAGTCAATTTGAGGGAAGCACGGACCCTTCGTTTCCCTTTGGGAACGCTACTGTTAAAATCAACATGTTTACTAAAAAAATTAAAGTCAAAAGCATGTATTTTTTTGAGATTGTTAGTATTTGTATTATAATTTTTAATTTCCAATAATTTCCAGAAGTGGTTTCTAATTATACTTTCTTTAACCCCGAAAACCCCTCCGTGGCTACACCTCTGCAACTAGCGTGTTTTTTTCAAGCTGTTTTTCATTTTTTTATAATTTTTTGGAATATTTTTTCATTTTCCCCGTAAATCTTTATGTTTTCAAGTGTCCGATTCTCCCAACTTGCGCCCGATATCCCAAGTATCCCAACTGGTTAAACTGGTTGGGGGGGACGTCCTACGTCCTTCCTCCCATTCCCCCCATACTTGCGTCCCTGACTGTAAAATATTGAGAAAATCATCTTCAAATAATTCTACATACATACAGTTTTCAGTGACTACCGATCAATTTAATGAGAAAAACTAAGACCCAATAAGACTTAGGTACAGTTTTCAGTGGCTATGAATCAATTGAATCAGAAAAACAATATAAGACTTTTGACAAACCAGATTTCCATAGTTTTCACCCCTAAGCCAGCCCTGTACGGCCTTGCAAGAAAATTGGATGCTAAAATTATAATTTATAAAACTACCAGTCTTAATTATACTGTGCCTACTGTATTATTTCATTTTTTCTAATTAGGTACATTTTATTTATTGATTGATCTAATAGAAAAAACGAATGGCACTGGTGGTTCGGGTGTTTCCGGAAGATTGGCTGCTAAATAAAATTAGCTTCTCCCGAAGAACTCGCTAAAAACCACTCAATACACAATACATACACGCTAAAACACTCTATCGCAAATTTACAAAATTAAATTGTTTATTCAAAACAGTATAATTAGTTTAAAATACAAATACTCACTTGCTTCGTTTCGTTTTTGAACAAAATGGGTGAAACAATTTCCTGCTTTCCACGAAGTTCTTGCAAGTTCCGAGGCGTACTTTCCACACAGTATTTTGATTTGGACAATCTGGAGTATTTATTGCCTCATTCCTATTTCCAATCCTCGTCTATTTGGAAATAAAAGTGAACTTGGCAACACGGTTATTAGAATTAACCAATAGCAATAGTCAAGGTTCTTTGAGAGAGGTAGGTTAGCCCTGATAATGTTATGACGTCATCAGGGTCCTTATTCTTGATTAATCTTGAAACAGGGGAACCGCGTTCCCAGGAGAACGAGTGTCTTTGATACTCATAATATGAATTGCATATCATTGAGAAAGAGTAGAAAGACGAAACACTCGTTCTCCTGGGAACGCTACTGCTGCCCTGTTTCAAGAACCTGGGGTGCCTCAACATCCAATCTGAGCTGCTTTCGGGTGTCACCCTTTGAGCGCTCCCGAGTTACCCCGAAGAACTCCGGCTACAGTTTCAAGCGTTTGAGTGCAAAACGCATGAAGTATTCTAGGAGCTTCGCACTTTGCACCCGAAAGCGGCTCTAATTTATAAACAACGTAGGGTTGGGGTTGAACATTATCTTAGATTTTAGATGGGGACCTATCGATACGATTTATCAATATAGACTACATCGATCGATAGGCCTCCTTCTTGCTATATGACGCAGAAGTCGATGTTCTGTGTTTTGTCTTTCTTTAATAACATGAATGAAAAAAGAGAAACTTATTTGAATTGAATTGAATTGACCATTATTGGGTCAATTCTGTGGACATCTAGCCATTCTATAAATTTCTATAAGCCTAGCTGCCTAAAGACAATTTGTAATTCTGCACTTCCTGTAGATTACAGAATATATTATAGGATCGTGGATCTTAACTGCTTCCGATGGAGTGTTTGGCAATCGATACGTTTTGCTATATAGGCTTATAGAAATTTATAGATTTGCTTACAGAATTGACTAATGAATTAGCTGCCGAAAAGACCTAATATCGTCATCACAATTCCCCATATTATAATTATTAGTGGTAGAGAACTATTGATAGTAGTCGATATTAAAGGATCATACCATCGATAGTTTATGATCTTATTAAATTTTATGTTCTACTTACCTATTTATTATAGATCCATAATATCTAGGAAACGAAATAAGTTAAATCCTATATCAACCTAAGGGCACTATAAGACTATAAGCGAGAGTTATAGATCACAACGCTCGCTAATAATATCCCCTCATTTAATTATTAAAAACGTATTATTAGCGGGCGTTATAATCTATAACCTATAACACCCGCAGGTTGTTATAGCTATATTAAATTATTTTATTTCCTAGGTACATGGTATAGCTAGTACAAATCAGGGAACCGGACCCGGACCGAAATGATATATCATATATCGGTTCCGACGGTTCCGTTCCGGTTCTGGTCCTCAGCGTCATGACAAATATCGTTTCCGTTACGGTTCCGGTTCTAAAAAAAATATTTCGATTCGGGTTTGGATAGGGTTGCCACCTTTTGATTTCCGAAAACCCGTACATAATCGAAACTTTTTTTTTGTAGCATAATTTACACTCATATCTGTAGAATAAATTTTTAGAAAAAAATTAAAAAAGGTACCTATCTTCTCAATTTCAAACGCCACCACTCGTAGTTACGGTCTATTTTAAAATTTAAAAAAAAAAGAAAACAGAGACACTGGTAAGTGAACAGGGAGAACGATACAATACATACATAATTATTTATTTTATTAGGCAGAAAAGCACAATATTTAATGCCGCGACTAGTTTTTCATAACCTAAAGCAAAGCGAAGCGAGGAAACCAACCAAGGCATTAAATCTGATCTTTTGCCGTGTGAAACATATAGTACATTTCATTTTTTCTCCGAATTTGTTACACTTTCACGCATAATCTACTTTTTTATGTTTATCAATTGCGCTAATAACTAGGGCTGGCAACCGAGACCGATTTTTCGGTTAACCGGTTAACCGATTTTCGGTTAACCGCGGTTTTCACCCAAACCGAAAATCGGTTATTCGATTAATCGGTTTCCGGTTATTCGGTTTGCGGTTAATCGGTTTTCGGTTAATCGGTTTTCGGTTAATCGGTTTTCAGTAAATCGGTTTTTGGTTAATCGGTTTGCGGTTTACCGAAAACCGAATACTTACCTACCAGAAACTGACTGACTGAAGACGAGAATTGAAAATACATAATCAAACAAAACTCAATGAATAATCAGAAAACTAGGGAACTAGGCAACTTATGCACATTGGCGTGCTCTGGAGCACCCCGGAAGCGCCACGCACTAGATTTGTACCGTTCCAGTTTCATAACGTGACACGCTTGTCTTACGTACGACAGTTCGAGAGCTCGACGCTCCGAGTAGCTCCGAGCGTCACACTCCCATACTGAAAAGCAGCTCAGGATTACATAGCCCTATTCGATTGACCAAATCAGATCGATGAGGGCTGGGATCACGACAAGTAGAATTCTACTTCCATGACGTCAGGTGGCCCAGCAACCGTCATCATCTCGCGAAAAATGGGTGGCGGGTGACGTCATGAAAGTAGAATTCTAGCAGAATTCCACTTGTCGTGATCCCAACCCTGATCGGTTTAAGTGATCTACGTAAACTGAACTTGAATCGATCTAATCTGGGTCAATCGAATACGGCTATCACTGCGTTGCACTCCGTGATACTCCTTTCGCCCTCCGACCGTTCGGGTATTGTTTTTTGGCGTGTCGGTCAGTAGGGTAGAAATAGAAAATACAAAATAGTATAAATTAGTTTTCCACTTTGATCACGTGACACAAATTAGATTAATAAACAGAATAATCGGTTTTTAATTCGTCTAATCTCTAAACCAGGGTTAACCGAGAACCGATTTTTAACCGAAATCAAACCGAGTTAACCAAATCGGTTAACCGAAAACCGATTGACCAAATCGGTTAACTGATTTTCGAGTAATCGGTTAACTGATTTCGAGTAATCGGTTAACCGATTTCAAGTAATCGGTTGACCGATTTAGAACCGTATTCGGTTAATCGATTTTTTTAGAAACCGATTATTCGGTTTGGATTTTTCTTGGTATTTGCCAGCACTACTAATAACGTTTGTTGAATGGGAAGCAACGAACATTTCTGCCTAGGCAGAAAAAGTCTATTTTTCCGTCGCTAACTGGAAACCGGAGACGTTTGTGATACACCCGTCATTCAAGAAGTAGGAACGTTCAGAAATTAGTTAGGTATATCCTAAGGCGTTCGGCAATCGCCTTTATAAATTTTATATTGAGTATTAATTATTATTAATTATATAGTTATCCAGATATTCCCGGACATTTTCATCATGTGTCCGGACACCGGACAAACCTTTGAAAAACCGGACAGTCCGGGTGAAAACCGGACAGGTGGCAACCCTAGGTTTGGACCAGTAATTTCTGTTTTAATGGTTCATACCGGTATAGTTTTTCACAAATATCTAACAGAAAAATTTATGTTTCTGTATTTGTGGTTTATTTTTCCTTGGATTTCTCTGCATATCTGCAACAATTTTAATAATAATAATTACATATTATTAATATTATAACATTTTTCTGTTCTCGATCAGTTAATTATAGTTTGTATTTTTCAACATTGTTCGTGGGTCATTAAGCTCATCAATGGCACCATGCATATTCTTATGGAGGTTTACTCCTACTACAGGATAGCCTATCCTCATAAGGGCTGTGTGGAACAAATCTAAAGCCCTGCACCACGCCAAATCACCAGTTGTGACATTGACCTGGCTTGACGTAGGCTGTCTGCACCATAGGTTATGATTCCGTGGGCTTTTGCTTTAGCATGCTTGGTTTTACTACATTAATTAACATTCTAAAACAACTCTTTGCCTATTATGTTAATCAAAATAAATAATATTTTTTATCATAGATTTGAATTCTAAACTACGACCTCTAGTACGAACCGCTGACGACTTGTTAATGACGTCGCAAATGGTGACAGACCAATGTGGCGGCGATTACTAAAAATGAGACCTTAGAGCAGGGAAAGCGCTGTCCTACGGACATAAGGAGTAGGAACGCGCCATTCTGCTTATGAAACTAAAGTGAAGCCAAATTTTTGGCAGGTGTTTGGCACCAAAATACAGGTAAAACATTGAATTGCCTAAATTGTCATTTTTTTGGTGCCAAAATACCTGGAAAAAAAAAACGCTTAATTTTCCAACTCCATGTTACTACTCCTCTTTACCTTTACCTGCTCTAAGAATGAGACTGATAAGCAATCCTTAGTAGTGTGTATTATCCTTGGTATTATGACACACGGGAAAGTTGAAAAATTCACCATATTAGTTAGGTTAGGAAAAATCGGGCGCGAAATTTAAAATGGGTTCCTAAACACATTTCAACAAATTTGACAGCAATGTATTTCTTATGGGGGATTCAAAAGAGTGATTTTCAGACGGGAATCCCTTGGGTTCTGGGCATTTCCTAGTATTTGAACCTATTATATGTAAAACTTTGAACATATTTCTCCATAATTCATGCTCTAATTGTTTTCTTAGACCTATGAATTAAAAATACAAATGATTTTAATTAAAAGTGTCTGTTTTCGGTGGACGTACGTCGGGTCTAAAACTAGCTGTAAGCATGATACTAGAACACACAAGATAAGATCACGCGCATGTTTATGTTCTGTCTCTCTCCCTCCGCTGACATCATCCCGTGATAAATTCGGTCTGATTAATGGCGTCTTGGCGTGTTTTTGTTCGTTTTTAATCGTTTTATCTGTATATTAGTATTTTTCTTACGTGAAAATCTCCTTGTTAAAATTGTATTCTGTTCATTTGTGTTTGAGTCTCTTTAATAAATAGTTATAGCATAAACATAAACCATGGTTTACTGTGCGGTCGTGGATTGTAGCAGGTAGCCGAAACAATAATAAAAAAAAAGTAAAAACATGCCTAGTTATAGATATAATTGTGATATATGGGTGCAATCGGAAGCTGGACTTCAGTATCAAAA